CACAGCATTGGCACTACGAAGGTACTCCAAGCCACATCCGGTCAGGGGTGGTGATGGATGTCGAAGGAGATTCCATCACCTGAACGACAAGAGACGAACCATGGACTGAAGATCTGTCAGGGTAGGTAATCCAGCTCAGGAACTCTGATGACCCGTCAGCGGCCGTCGGAGGTACGAATGCATTCGTTCGCTCGCTCCCAAACATGATCTTACGGATGACCTTACCTTAAGGTTTGAAAGGAAGGCGGTGCGTTGGGTACGTGTGTCGGTATGATGCGGCTCCCAAGCTTATTCGTAGTGCGTCGCTTTAGTAGGTACCCTGCGTTGGGCTGTGTTACGCACTCCGCGCGCGTTCCGTCGATGAAGTCGTGAGGAAGCAGAAAGGGCAAAGCATTTCCTATCTAGGAAGATTATAGCGCCAAGCGCCCGTGCTGTGTACCGCCGACGATGGTGACTGCGATCAACTCCTCATTGACACTGGTGCCTGAGTCACTTATGCATCAAGGAGTCACCAGGCCGGAAAACTTTCGAAGGTTTAGCCCCTTGTTCAATTGAACCAGAATGCTTGTTTTGACAGGCATAGCTCTTGACATATTCCGCATCATGTCGAGGTAAGCCAAGGCGACTTACACCAGCTGGATCCCATCTTACTGAGGCTTGAGCTTCGTTCCGCTGCGACTGTTGCCGTGACGCGTTCCGCGTTGTTCCTCTCTATTCCAATTTGTTCCCGTTTGTCTTGATCATCTGCCTCGTAGAGTTTGGATGATGAGGCTTTTTGTCGTCTACCCCAGGGGCAGGAGACTTGCCAATTCCAAGTTGTTTGGGCTGAGTTGCATCGCCATGACATCTGCGTCAACTCTTTGCCAAGTTGGCGTCGTAAGGATAAGGATGTTAGCCCCGAGTGGCTAGTGCGGCAAGGCCGCGTGCGTCATCGACGACGAGGCCGGCCTCGGGTATCCTTGTTCGTCACCAGGCAGTTCGGTCCGTTGGAAGGAGGCATCTTTCACATACAATCTAGTACGGATGTCTGACCCTCATTGGTAGCCATGGTGATGAATGGGAGAGATACTGTCCCGCAAGCTCAGCTCTCTCTAGCACTTCATGGAATTGAGCAATCATGGCATGGCAGGACAGAAGATGTTGAATCAGCGATATAAATTTATACACGGCCATCGGCGGACTGGCGATTCTGAACGAACCTCAGACCATGAGCCGAGTAAGACTGTACGGGCCTGCTGCACATCGACAACAACGGCACCAGGCGTGGAATTTGTCTGTCAAGCCATGGCTCTGCAGTCACCCACTTGATTCCCAACCTCATGTCGACGTGCCTTGGCATCAAGTCGTTGGAAACTCGTAAATGCTAGGCGTGTGACAGCGCATCATCTCATCGGCGCTGCATCAAGCTGAGTCTGGAGAAGCGATATTGAAGCATGGCTAGGGTCGTCTCGGGCATCCGGACGGCTCTGTCTGGTCTGTGACAACAACCAACAGGCGACATGGCTGGCGAAAGTAGCCGATGCTCCGGATACGCAGAGGAGTCGGCTTCTCCATTCACACGTTGCGAACGGGTCCGAGCAAGGCAATAAGCGGCGGTTGTATGGCTGACCACATATGTACGTCGGTGGTAAGTGCCAGATTCGTTTGGACCACCTCGGTGCCAGGAGTTACAAGTGCGAGGAAGCGCCGGTGGCATCTGAGCAAGGGGGCAGCCAGCTGAAGGGAAGTGACACTGTTGCCGCAATGCCATCATTGCTCAGACATATCACGCTGATCAAGGCCCTTGGGTCTACCAAGCGGCAAGTTGCGTTCGTAAAACGAACGAAAGGAGCCCGGAGACAAGAATACCACTCATCACGCTGTCTTCCCCAGTCCGCCCCGATGCCCAATGTACGACATCCACCCGTCCCCCTCGTCCTTCCAGATCTTCGCATCCTCCTCCTCTCTATGTTTCCCCTCGTGCATCAACCAAGCCTCAACATCTCCTCCTGCACGCTCCACGTCCAGCGCCCTCGCCGCCCGCAGAACATGCCACAGCGACCCGATATCCTTCCGGGGGATGTCGTCCATAATATACATAGTGACATTGCCAGTCGCCTCGATCAAGCCAAAGAGAAAGCCACGATGGACTCCCCTCTCCGGTCCGTGCACATACCTCACCACTCTGCCATACTCGTCCTTGACCCTCCACAGAAAAGGGTCGTCCCCGTAGGGAGTGCCGCCGAGCCAAGTCGCGCCGCGGGAGGTACAGACGGAGTGGTACCTCTTCACCATGTCAAGGTACTCCGACGCCGACGGGGCGTCGCGCAAGTACCCGAGGACGTTGTCGAACGTCGGTCCAGCCAGCATGTTCCATATGCACACGGCGCAGATACCGATACCTAGCTCCCCCGTCCACTCCCGCTCCAAGCCGAACGCTTCCCTAGATACAGACCCATCGTAGGGGAGTCTATGGGCGTCACTCGCCAGCGCCTCGCGGAGCTCTTCCAGAACCGGCTTTGCCTCGAGCTCGTCTAGCGCGTTCCCCACCTCGGCAAGCAGAGCGGGTGTATGCGGACGGCCGTCGAGTGCCCAATCAGTCTTCCCAATGTTTCGGAGAGCGCCCGCGCAGTCCGAGTACTCAGACTGCGGGCGGAGCGCATTGCAAAACACATCCCGTTGACGGAGTGCACGAACGTACGAATCATGGAACTGACTGACCGCCGGCAACAGTTCCTTGCTGGCACAGAGGCCAGCTTCATTTCTAAAGACGGACTCGAGGCAATTTGGGCTACAATAAGAATGGCGAAGATGCCTCTTCTTGGTCTTGAGGAGACCGGCCAGCTCGTCGCGGGTGAGGTGCATGTAGCACTTTTCCGATGTGTAGTACAACTCTAGTCCCAATAGGCAGGCTTTGTTGTCGAAGAGGGTCGTAAGGGACGGCGGCGGAGAACCTTTCCAGTTCTCGAGGAACGCGGGAGAATGAAGCCGTCCAAATTCGGCGTGGATCTCCCTCACGGGCGAGTCGTCCGCCGAGGGACCGTTCAGGAGCATAAAGGCCAAGTCTCGGGATGGGTCGGCGGCCGTCTCCCAGTCCTCGGAAAGCAGGTCTGCCTGCTGGTACGAAGCCACGGCGTCTTGGTAGATCTCGTCCCACTTGGCAGTCGGCGAGCAGCGTTCGCCCGCCTTCTTCACGCGACGGATGAATTCGGGCAGTGGCACAGCCTTGCCAGTGTCCGGGTTGGTTATGCCGCCCCGAGTCCACGCCCTGATAGATCGGTCCAGGTAGTTGAGCATGCACGACCCGCACGTCGTCTCGCCTAACCCCGGGCCATAGTTCTGCTCTCGCACCATGAAGTTGTACGAGTAAGAATAGCCATTGGTGCCTCTGTGGCCGGTCTTCTTGTACGCCCCGTCGGTACGCTTCTTGTTCGTCTCCGATATGAACATGTCGATGCCATTGAAGAGGTTCTGGTTCGCGTTGATGCCGTCGACGATGGCGAACCGGTCGTATAGCTCGGCGGGACAGTAGTCATAGTCGCTATCGCCGTCGGGGCTGGGGCGACATTGATGTAGGTTTCTCTGCAGGAGCATCCGGACTGCAGCCAGTGGTCCCGTTTCAAGATGATCCGGGCTGAACCTACCACTGTAGTGATTGAGTTCGAACTTATCGGCCGTCGAATTACATTTCATGGCGAGGAGCCTCCAGGCTTCGATAAGAGCGGTCGAGCAGCGCGCTTCGCAGACCTTGGGCAGCACATATAAAGGGTCCCATCCCAGGGGCCGCAACGTGCAATTGTCTGTGCTCCGATCAAAGATTGCATCGTGGCATGGTACCGACCCGAGTGTGTACCATGCCGTCAGGCAGTCCAGGCTGGCCGTGCGTGCGAGTTGTGGGTAGAGGGCCGGGAAACTGAGGCTGTACTGAACGGCGTGGCTCTGCTTAAACTGGTCGGCGGGAGATGGCTTTATCACAGGAGTTCGTCGGGGATTCGAGGAATGGAACGCGAGGCAGAGAGAGCCAGCGAGTGGGATGGCGATGAGCAGGGCGATGAGAATGCTCACAGCGACGTAGAATATCTTGCGCAAACCGAAATTGCTGCCCCCAGGCTTGGTCGCATCGAGCGAGGAGTCATCATCTTGCTGTCTGCCGATGCTGGCTTCTGCCGGGATATCAGTGTGTTGTTCGGTGTCAATCGGGACCTTGCCCTCATCTGTGTAGCTGTCGTCCGCCATTTCAATACGGAACAGGAGAAGTTGGAAGGCTCCCGAAGAGCAGAGCGAACGAAGAGAGTAAAGAAAAAGTCCCAGTCCGTGCCGCCTACCAGCACACAAACAAACATGCAACTCGTCCAACAACCAACAACCAACATCGTCCTGATTGTGACGATAGCGGCTCGTGAGCGGACTAGGCTCTATCAGTCGCACGTTGTAACTGCAAAACTGTCTCGCGAAATTAGAAGTGCTAAAATTACCTTCGCACCCATACACGGATTCCCTCACTTACAGCTTTCGCCTTCGCTGAAGTGTACTTCCTTCCGCGATTTATTGAGCTTTCAGCCATCTTGGCGTGTAATGATACCGTTGTGCCGAACCCTCCAACTCTTACTTACCCTATAGACGACCACCTGCACCCCAGAGGTCAACCAATGCCGCGGCACATTTCCGACACCATCAACTATACCTGATGGGCGAATGGAGGCGAAAGGAAGTGACAAGGAGTCGTCGCGTGACCATAACGAACGCACAACAGCCCCTCCGTAGCTCCAAATGTGTCGTATTGTCCGGACCACAGACTTTACCGACACCTCCTCGCACTATCTCCCTCGAACAAAACACCAAGGAGATAGACGAGGAGGTCGTCGCCGTGATCCCAACCCTAACCCTAACCCGATTTGAACGGATAACATGCACCAACCTACCAAAAATAGTGAAATACCTCGAGACTTGACCAAAACCTCACCACACCTCCTTTCTCCCCAAAACCAACAAAAAGAAACTCGACGAGGAGCTCGTCGCTATGACCCTGACCTGATTTGAACAGATAACCTTTCGCTGATTCTCCGTTCGTTTTGAAACTGGAGGCGAACGCGCTAGCCGTTGCGCCACAAGGCCCGTACTTGATGAAGATCCGGCTTGTTGATGAAGGTTATGTCCGAGCTATGCATCAGTGCCCCACACGAAGGATGAAGCCTTGACTCGGACCGCGCAGCTGTATGGAAACCCGTCCCAGACTGCGTAACGATAACCTTCAGCAAGTTCCCGGGGAGAGGACGGGACGGAACAGATGTACACCGCTAAGGTACAGACAACCAATGGAACGGGGAACGGGGAACAGGGAACTGCGAGCACGTCTTAACCGAGGAGAACAAGCCTCTAAGTTGATCGACCGTGCTCGCTACGAAGAGGTGCAACCGGGCGACCCGGACTGCAGTCTTCAGCCACTGGACTTTCTGTTGAGGCAAATGCATATGTCTCGCGCACCGCACTCTCATGCTCTTCCGATCCACGAGCACGACGCTGATATCACCTTTGCGCTGTGCTCGCCGATTCACGCTGTAGCGTCCTCCGTGTCCCGCGCAGACATACCATGCAACCTTGTCACAATCCCGCGCTGGAGCAACTGACACTTCTCATATCCCTCCTCGACTCCCTCACCCAGCACGTACGACCACAGGTACTGGAAAACTCGGGATCCCGTCCGCTCTCCCCTTGATAAGCCAGTAACCGACAGACTAGTACTCGGGTGGGTGACCACCGGGGAATCCCTGTTGTTGTACGTTTTTTTGTCGTCGTTGCTTCTTGCAACTCTTGACTCGTTCCGAAGCAGGAATTTCCATATCAAGTCGCCCGAGCGGCCCGACATTCATCAACCCCAATCCCCTTGTGGTGTAGTTGGATATCACATTCGACTGTAATTGAAAATTTGTTATCGAAAGGTCACCGGCTCGATTCCGGTCGAGGGGAGGTTGCTCTTTTTGCTGATGCGGTAGGGTGTGGTTTCTGTTTTGGCTTATGCCGGTCTCCGGAGGTCTGGTTGCCCCCGACTCTGCGCCAACACCATGCTCGGGGGGCTATCATTGCCGCCATCTGGTGTTGAACACCCGACGCTGCCCACTCCATGAACCGCTTCCGTACGAAACCCATGGGAATATGGAGGTCATCGACTCTTCTTTTGCACTGGCTGCATATCCACCATGAATGACTCGCGCTAGCAGGACAAGCTCCATGACCTCTTAGAACAGCCCGGAAATCCATCAACAAACCCCCTTGTGGTGTAGTTGGATATCACATTCGACTGTAATTGAAAATTTGTTATCGAAAGGTCACCGGCTCGATTCCGGTCGAGGGGAATTTCTTTTTTGCCCTCTATGCCACCTTGAGGGAGCCTTTCGCCGGTGGAGACGGCCCCGATGCGACTTGCAAGATCCCCATCATTGGATGTGGATGGACTCATCCAACACGCTCACTCGAGCATGGGAGAGCGACCCTTGGGGTTGTTCTTTTGCCCCGGCAGCCCAACTCCAACCGCTGCTTCTTAGGTCGTGTGTTTTCCACGTGTTGGCTCTCCCGAAGCCTCACGCCGAAGCAGAGCAAACTGACTCGCCGTCATCCACTCGGACCGTACAACAGCACGACTCAAGTCCTGAACCCAAAGCAGAGCGCAGCATCCGCAGATGAAAAGTCCATTAACATTGTCCTGCAAGCACACATTCGGTTGTATGGTGTAGAGGTTAGCACTCCAGATTCTGACTTGCGTCATGAAACCTTCTGGCGACCCCGGTTCGAGTCCGGGTACGACCTTAGCAATGAACGTATGATTCCGTCATTTTTGTCGTTGTTTTGTTTGATCTGTCGCGCTCATCAGTTTCGCCGTTTAAGCCTAAGGCCCTCACTTTTGCTGATGTGTCTCAAAGAAGTGGCAGCACCGGAGGCCGACGGAACATCGGACCAGAGCAGCGGCGAACGGATTGTCCTGGGAAGAGCTTGAAGCCGTCCGGCGGTCGACCATACGCCGGCGGGCAGATGGAGTGCTGAGCGGCCGCCCTGGTATCCGCGTAGTCACCGACATTTGCTCGACGATGCATGGCTGAGGGAGAGACTCACACGGGTGCGCAGGGAGAGTCGTACGTATAGTACATGGGTATGATGATTAGGCGTCTCTGTGGCTGATGAGCCCCGACGAACGGCCTGGTGATGGCCTTCGATATCTTGGAGCTTGTTGATTGAAATCGTCCACATTCCAGCTGGCAGCCGATTGGCAGATCGGTAGTGGGGGTAAGGTAGGCTGCTCAGTGCGGGGCTGCTCTTTTGGACCCTAGAATGCGAAATCGACGAAATCCCAGTCGGAAACGTATTCGTATTCGAGTTTTGCACCTCGATCCGCGAACAGGCGGTGAGCTAGTTTTGCAATTGACCAATCAACGGAGCTCGACCCCTTTCACGCTGACCAATGGGAGGCCGGCATTTTAGATTTGTATCTGGGATTTGCCGGCAACGAAAAGAAGGGAGCGAGCTTGACCTGCTGCTTCCCCATATCGCCATGCTTCCAGCAAGATCCAAGATCTGGATCTAATGTGAAGGAAAGCATGTCAGGGCGTCTGAGGCTGTGATACGCCGAGTTGGGTTCGTCCGCCGTGCGTACCGTCTGTTTGATAGTGGATGACGCCATGCTGTGAGCGGCACAACTCCAGTTCGACGGTTCGCTGCAGTGTACTTGTGGTCGACGTCGCCCCCGGAATGGAAGCTTGCCGATATGCTCGAGTGGCGTGTCTGATCACTGGCTGGCCATCCGTTGAGACCGGCTTGGTCGAGGAACCCGGAAATTGTACCCAGTGTTAGTACCTAGTCCCCTAACACAAATTCTCGGCCCTTGCTGTGTGCCAACTGTCCCCGGGAAACAGTGGTTGCGGACTCGTTGATGGCACCACTGGGACACAATAACTGCTGTTTACTGCGGATACGTCGTAAGGTACCTAGAGCGGGCACGCGTACCTTACTCGTAGTCGTCAATGGCATCGAACGCCTTGTGTGAGAGTTGTTCTGGCGGGAAAGGGGTCTCTTCCATGTGTTGATCACGAATCCGCGGGTCGCGGAGATGCGAGGTGTGACTGCCACCAATGAGTGCGATGTGCAAGACAGGCCTGACGCGCCAAGTCGCAGTCACTGCATCACTTACCTTAGATTAGCGGCGGGGAATCACTGAAGAATGCCGTTGAACATGGTTCAACTGGGAAGCTGCTCTCCGTCTGGGTTCTTTTTTTGCTGTAATTTTACCGCTGCCCGCCAAAGCACTGACAGCCCAGTGGACAGGAGTGACCGGGCTAGCAACGCTACAACATTGGCATGTACTCGGGTACCCACATCTCCAATCTTCTCTTCGTCTGAACCATCCACATCTCTTCTTTCCTCCCCATTCTCAACACCGCCCAGGGTTTTGTCTCGATATAATAACACTTGCAGTAAGCAGCCACAGCTGCCGACGACCAACCTCGAAGTCGTCCCCCCCATATCTCGACTGAGAGCTCGGCGCCTGATCGCTTTCCTTATACATCCCTCCTCGCCCCGTCGAGGCTCTTTTTTGGCTCATCAATTATCTCGGTGCGCTCACCACCACAATCAAACATGGACAACTCAACAAGCTTCACATCGCCTCTGGCAACGGTCAAGTATGGCGCCGCGAACGTTCCTTGGCAGCTCGACTATGCCGTCAATACCGTCTCCAACGCCATCTCCAATGCGACCATCTGGCAGATTCTCCTCGCCATTCTCGCGCTCTGCGTCGCGTACGACCAATGTATGTCATAAACCCCAGAGAACGAAACAAGAAAGAAAGGAAACAAGATGGAAGGCTAACCTTGACGTCTATCAGGGTCCTACATCTGGCACAAGGGTTCCATCGTTGGCCCCATGATGAAGCAGCCCTTCATCGGACCCTTCCTCGAATCCGTCAACCCCAAGTTCGAAGAATATTACGCGAAATGGTGCAGCGCTCCCCTCAGCTGCGTCTCCGTCTTCCACAAGTTCGTCGTCATCGCCTCGACGCGCGACATGGCCCGCAAGGTCTTCAACGCCCCCGCCTACGTCAAGCCCTGCGTGGTTGACGTCGCACACAAGCTCCTTGGAAAGGACAACTGGGTGTTCCTCGATGGCAAGGCGCATGTCGATTATCGTAAGGGTCTGAACGGCCTGTTCACCCGCAAGGCCTTGGAGGTATATCTTCCCGGCCAGCACGAGGTGTACGAGGTGTACTTCAAGAAGTTCCTCAAGAAGACCGAGGACGCCGGCGGCGAGCCCGTCCCCTTCATGCACATGTTCCGTGAGGTAATCACTGCCGTGTCCTGCCGTACCTTCGTCGGACATTATATCTCGGATGATGCCGTCAAGAAGATTGCCGATCACTATTATCTCATCACGGCTGCCATGGAGTTGGTCAACTTCCCTATCATCATTCCCTTCACCAAGACGTGGTATGGCAAGAAGGCCGCCGACATGGTGCTCGTCGAGTTCTCCAAGTGCGCTGCTAAGGCCAAGGTCCGCATGAACGCTGGAGGCGACGTCACCTGCATCATGGATGGCTGGATCAAGCAGATGGTCGATTCGAAGAGGTGGCGCGATGCCGAGGCCGCCGGCACCTTGACGCCGGAGATGGAGAAGCCCAACCCTCTCCTCCGTGACTTCTCCGATTATGAGATCGCTCAAACTCTCTTTACCTTCCTCTTCGCCTCGCAGGATGCCACTAGCAGCGCCTCCACTTGGTTGTTCCAGGTCTTGGCCCAGCGCCCTGAGGTCCTGGAGCGTGTCCGCGAGGAGAACCTGAAGGTCCGCAACGGCGACCCCAAGGCCCACGTCAACCTGGATCAGCTCGAGTCCGTCACATACACCCGTGCTGTCGTTCGTGAGCTTCTCAGGTGGCGCCCTCCCGTAATCATGGTTCCCTACCTCGTCAAGAAGGATTTCCCCATCACCCCCGACTACACCATTGCCAAGGGTAAGTGATTTTCTTATTTCCTCGACACACCTCGTTCACAGGCCGAGTGCTGACCGAATCCGGTATAGGCTCCATGGTCGTCCCGACAACGTACATGGCTCTTCGTGATCCTGAGATCTACCCC